ATCAGTGGAACAGAATAGAGAGTCCAGAAATAGATCCACACAAATGTGGCCAACTGATTTTTAACAAAGATGCAAAAACAATTCAATGGAGAAAAGACAGTCTTTTCAATAAATGTTATTAGAGCAACTGGACATTCATATGAAAAAATGAACCTCAATTTATACCTCACACCATACACCAAAAAATAAGTCAAAATAGATCATAGATCAAAACTTAAATGTAAAACTAAAAAACTTTTAGAAGAAAATATAGGAGAAAATCTTCATGACCTTAGGTTAGGCAAAGACTTCTTAGATATGACCCCAAAAGCACAATCCATAAGAGAAAATTTTAATAAACTGGACTTTATCAAAATTAAAATTTTTGCTCTGTGAAAGACACTATTAAGAGAAGGAAAAGACAAACTATAGACTATGAGAGAATATTTGCAATTCGTATGTCTAACTAAGAACTTGTATCCAAAATATCTAATGAACTTTCAAAAATCAATGTAAGGAAACAAAAAACTCGATAACAAATGGGCAAAATATTTGAACAGATACTTCACCAAAGAAGAAAAATAGATGCAAATGAGCACAAGAAATAATGTGCCCAAATCATAAGCTATTAGGGGAATGCAGATTAAAACCACAATGAAGTAACAACTAAAATTAAGACAATTTTGAAAACTTGATGATATCCAGTTATGGTAAGGATGCAGCACAATAGGACCTCTCACATATTGCTGTTGAGAATTCAAAATGGTACCGCTGTCTGGAAAACAGTTTGGCTATTTCTTTAAATGTACACCTATCACATGACCCAGAAATTCCATTCCCGGGTATTTACCCTAGAGAAATTAAACTTTTATTCACACAAAAACTATACACAAAAATTAATAGCAGTTCTATTTGTAGTTACCAAATCAACTCAAATGTCCTTCAAGAGGTCAATGGATAAACAAACCACAGTACGTCCATACCATGGAATACAATAAAAAAAGAAATAACTATTGATATATACAACAACATGGATGAATCTCAAAGGCACCATGCTAAGTGAACAAAGTCAGTCTCAAAAGTTACAAATTGTGTGATTCCATTTATATAACAAGGCAAAACTGTAGGAGTGGAGAACAGATTAGTGGTTGCCAGGGGTTGGGTTGGAGGGAGGCTTTGACAAAAAAGGGGCAACAGGAGGGAGCTTTGGGGGTAACGGAACTGCTCTGTATCCTGATAGTGGTGGTAGTTGCATAAACCTATACATGTGTTAAAATTCATAGAGCTGTTCACAAAAAAAAGTCGAAAAACGGGATCTAAGTAAATTTAAAAAATAACAAAACACCCCCAGTTACTCTTAACACCTTTAGTCGTGGTAATTAAAGCTAGCATGTTTGTCTACGTCATATTTTTGAAACAATCAAGTTGTATCACAAATATACATGCACATTTTATAGAACTCACAACCCCTTGAGAAAACCATATATCCAACTTATCCATTTGTAGTACGTGAAGCATAGTTTTATTATTTTAAATGTTAAGATCTCATAGATGCTTTAATTTTACTTTTATAAGATTCTGTCTATTGTATATAGAATTTATTTGATCTTTAGTATATACAGTGACTCAGCTCCTAACTATAATATTGTTCTTATGAGCAAGTACCAGTATCATCTGCTTCATGAACATTCACTTTATGGTCAGTACTGGAGTATTTTGTGAACAAAGGGCAGGGACTGCCCACGTGAGACACAGGGAACGCATGTGTCATTCTACTCTGGCAGTACAATTAGCTGTAAGTTTATTGGGTAATAAAGAGACTAGTCCTTGGGGCTGGCCTGGTGGCATAGTGGTTAAGTTCATGTGCTCTGCTTCTGGCGGCCCTGGGTTCACAGGTTGGGATCCCGGGCACAGACCTATGCACGGCTCATCAAGCCATGCTGTGGCAGACATCCCACATAAAGTAGAGGAAGACGGGCATGGATGTTAGCCCAGGGCCAATCTTCCTCAGCGATAAAGAGGAGGATTGGCAACAGGTGTTAGCTCAGCTCTAATCTTCCTCACAAAAAAAAAAAAAAAGAACGATAAGAAACCAGTCTTTGAGATAAGTTTTCATGACAATAATCCTGTAAGGATTAGCCACGATTTCTCATCCACTAAGGGAAGCACGGTATAGTAGGAGAAATAGTGTACATGGAATTTAGGTTCTGGTCCTACCACCACTTATTAGGACCAATTATTTGATTTCTCTGGACTTCATTTGTCTTATCATTAAAACGTGACTGTTTTCACTTTGAAATTCTTCTTCGTTCTTTGATGACATATCTACATGTATCTAATCACTTAATATGTCCTATTGCCGATGTGTTTCCCTCTTTTTAACCTTCTTGTTGATATTATTTAGCTGTCTCAGATCTTCCAAACTTTCCCAGAAAGATTGGCCTAAGGTTATAAAAAATAATTTATTTTGATCAATGCTATTCATTATTCATTCGTTTATCATTTACTGAGGAGCAGTGTGCTAGGAGAATTAGAGATGAAATGATTTTGTCCTCAGAGTTATGGTCTATTGGAAGATAAAAATAATTGTAGTACAGAATGATAAGTGTTATAATAAAAGTATGTTCTAGAGGCAATGGGATATAGGTGCGGGGTCAGAAAATGACTACTGGATGAGACAGTGAAGCTAAGTTTTGAAGTACTGTAGACACTGACCAGCAAAGATGGAAAGATGCTGAGATGAAAGATTGCAGTTTGGTGTAGGGGACTGAGGTGGGTGTACGAGGAGTGCACGGAAGAGGCGAGGGAGCCATACAGTGAACAGCATTGTGTGCCATGCCTCATGGCTTGGATTTTATCCTGAAGGGATGAGGAGCCTGATAAAGGAGTCTAATGAGGAACAGGGACATGATCAGATGTGCACTGGAAAGAGTAGGTTGTGTGTCTGTGTGGTGGGAAGAGAAATGAGAATGTTGATCCTGGAGACCAGTTTGAAAACCATTACAATAATCTAGGAAGGGGGCCAGCCCGGTGGTGCAAGCGGTTAAGTGCGCGCGCTCCGCTGCAGCGGCCCGGGGTTCGCCAGTTCGGATCCCGGGCGCACACCGACGCACTGCTTGGCAAGCCATACTGTGGCGGCATCCCATATAAAGTGGAGGAAAATGGGCACGGATGTTAGCCCAGGGCCAGTCTTCCTCAGCAAAAAAAAAAAAAAAAAAAAAAGAGGAGGATGGGCAGATGTTAGCACAGGGCTGATCTCCTCACAAAAAATAAAAAAATAATCTAGGAAGGAATAATGAATGACGGTGGGAATTGAGAAGGGAATTCAAATTGAAGGAATATGAAGGAGGTTGAATTGCAAGGACTTGGAGGATTGGAGGTGGTGGGTACTTATTTACAGGACCCATGATCACTTAGTGTGATGCTGCCATTTAAAGTAATTACAAGCCACACTTCTGCATGTAAGCAGTTGGCAAATGTTGCCCTCAATATCCACAATACCCCTGAGAGGGCAGCATCTAGGTATTGATTTTATTATTTTAGAGAGAGAGACAAAGAAGCATCAAGAAGTTACAGAATTGCGTGAACACCACACATCATGTTTTAGGAAGAGTGGTTTAATACTATCACGGTTCGGAGATGAGATTGAAGGCAGGGAGACCAGTTAGTGAACCATTTTAAGACTAGAAGTAGTAAGAAGACGAGACAAAGTAGTGGCACTGCTTCAAATTGAGGACTACACCAGTGGGAGGACATTAACATGTGTAGGAAGGGAAAAGTTACTGACATCCTTGGCTGGAGTGACATCTTTACTCATGTCTGCAAAATTGACTCCAAGATCATAAATAATGTGAGTCACCTTGGTGCTATAGAAATACACATGCTGACATATGTTTTGTATTTCTCTATCTGACTAAAAATATCTATACAGTCTAGGTAACCAAGTTGTACCTCAAGAAAGTAAAGTTCCCTGTCATAGAAATATTTGTCTACATAACCCATGGCAGATGAAACAGTGACACATCCTTTTTCTCTGGATCTCCCTTTTCCTGCTCTAACACCATCACAATTACCTTCCTATATTACATTGAAATTGGTGATTTACAGTTTTTCCAAAAAGATTGTGGTTTGGAATTAAATTTGGGAGAGACTCAGCTCTGATCAATAGCACAATTAGACTAGATCTCAGTGTGGGCTATGACTGAGGATGTGTGTACTCTTTTACAATAGGTAGATATTTAATGGTTTTGAATGGAGAGACTTTTTTTTTGGCTTATAAAAAAGAGAAATTTATTTCTCACCATTCTGGAGGCTAGAAGTCCAAGATCAAGTCATCTGCAGAATCAGTGTCTAGCGAGGGCCTGCTTCCCGGTTCATAGATTGCTGTCTTTTCACTATACCCTCACATGGCGGAAGGGGTGGAAAGACTTTTCATACTTCACTCCCACAGTTGGGGAGAGGCCCCTGCAGTGGCCTCCTGGAAAGGCTGAGCTCTGCTCTGGCTGTGTGATGGAGATCTCGGTGGACACTATTGACTAGTGGTGTGACCTCGGACAAGTCGCCTGGCCTCTTTAAGCCTTAGTTTCCTTCTCTATAAAATGAGAGTAATAATGGTAGCTATCTCATTAGAGCATTGGGAAGATAAAATCAACTAGTTCATGTTAAGCACTTAGTGTAATTTCTGTCAAATAATATTTAACCATACATATTTAATTAATATTAAATACAAGAGTATGATATTCCCACCTATTTGTAATAGTCAGTCTTCGTACATCTGACTTCAATTCTAGTCACCATGTGATTATACTTAAAGACAAAGTATAAATACAACCTTCTTTGATTAATAATTCTTCCTTAATTAGGGGCATTAGCCCAAGTATAGCCTTTATTTTGCCATGGGGTAAGTGGAGGGGGATTGGGAAGTGGGAATGCAGAGAAAACAAAAAAATTCTGTCATTGTACTAATCAGACTGTGCGTCTGAGCATAAACTTTCTTACATGGGGATATTCCTATTTCTTAGGTATATTAAGGAAACAAACATCAAAAATGATCCAAATGAACTCAACAATCTTATCAAGAAAAACTCTGATGTGGTAACCTGGACCCCACGACCTGGAGCCACCCTTGATCTGGGTAGGATGCTAAAGGACCCTACAGACAGGTTTGTATTCAATATTTATAGAGAATAAAAATGATTTGTGAATTTTCTCAATTTTATGAGAAAATAAAGGACAGACCTACAGCCTCTTGATAGGTCCCTATATGTAGGAATGTAAGTCTTTGTTGACTAGCATACTGAGCTTGCTATGCAATAAGAGCCACACATCATTTTTTAAAATGGAAATCTTACTATTTAAATAAAATAAACTATTAAGTGTCTTTCAAATCTAGAGGAAGAAAGGCTGAGTTTTTCCCTAAGTTTCTCTTCCTTTATAATAATTACGCAAATGTTTTCCTTGTCTAAGAACCTCGAGGATAAAGGGTGAGGAAGTTTTTCCATTAAGGGCCATTAGTACAGCTCAAAAGTAAGTTGTCTTATGTAAGTAAAAAAGCAATAAGTGTGAGAGTTAGTTTTCATATCAGCATAAACATTACCCAACTGCCCATTTGAGAGAGAATACATTTGAACAAGTAACGATGCACTGGGAGTGCAATTCAAGAAAAGTTTACGTTGATGTCACAGACCTATAATTTCATGAAAACTTGTTTTGAGCCAAATGGAACTGTAAATCCTTCCCCCTTATTTAGAAATGGACTAAGTGTGTGGAGAGCAGTGCACACAGTTACCAAATGCACACCCCTCTCCGGCCTTACCTCTGCAAAGTCTGCATGAATGGTGCACTCGGCTGAATCTGCCCTTTTGCTAACTTCCCATATCAAACTACAGAGGTCCCCAACTTACAATGGTTGGACTTATGACTTTTCGACTTTAGTATGGTACAAAAGTGATAGGCTTTCAGTAGAAACCATGCTTCGAATTTTGAATTTTGATCTTTTCCCAGGCTCTCTCTATGCAGTACCATCCTCTCTCGTGATGCTGGGCAGTGGCAGCGAGCCACAGCTCCCAGTCAGCCCCGCGATCACGAGGGTAAACAACTGATACACTTACCACCATTCTGTGCCTAGACGACCATGCTGTGTTTCACTTTCAGTACAGTATTCAATAAATTACATGAAATATTCAATACCTTATTATAAAATAGGCTTTGCGTTAGATGATTTTGCCCAACTATAGGCTAATATAAGTGTTCTGAGCATGTTTAAGGTGGGCTAGGCTAACCTATGATGTTTGGTAAGTTAGGTGTATTAAATGCATTTTCCACTTGTGATATTTTCAACTTAGAATGGGTTTGTTGGGGATGTAACCCCACTGTAAGTTGAAGAAGATCTGTAGTTATCAAATGTGGTCAGTTCTCCTTCATTAATCTCTCACAAATCCATCACTCATCTCCAGCCTCTTCTGTAGCCTTAATTCAGCTTCTCACAACTTTTCACCCAGATTCTTGGGGTGGCCCTGTCTTGTCTCTGTGCCTCCTCCCCCCCTCCCCTTTGATCCATCTTCCATGCTGGCCTATTTCAATTTGCTGTTCACAATCCACTGGTAGGTCATAAAAATCGACGGTGTTGATCACAACCAGTGTTTTTAAAAATTGAAATAGAATAGAATAAAATAGACATTGCATATAACAAGGGTAGGTATTATTTCAGGAAACTTTTGTTTCACAGATGCCTTTGGGATGTAGACCCCCAGGATCTTGAAGTAAAATGTAATTCTTACTGGGATCATAGGCAAAAAGTTTGATAGCCCCTACTCTACGTTGCTGCCAAAGTAACCTTTTTAAAATGCAAAACTGTTTCTGTTCCTTCCCTGCTTTAAATTCTTTGGGATCTCCCCAGTGTCTCTAGAATAAAAGTGGTTTTCATGCTCCAGATCAAGGGTGTGAGAGGTTTTTAATTATTTCAGGTATTAACAGGGCATTCAAGAGTCTTTGTCATTTGGCATCAGTTTAACTCTTCATCCTGTCTCTCCAGTACTCCAGAGGTATCCTATGATAGTCATTCTCAAACTTTAATGCACATCAGAATAACCTGAGGAACTTGTATAAATGCAGATCCCTAGGCTTTACCCCCAGAGATTCTGATTCAGTAGATCTGAGTTAGAGCCCAGGAATCTGCATTCGTATCATTGTGTCACATCAAAGCATTCTGGGTAACAAGAGAGTCAATAGTGTTGGATTCTCATTAGTAAGTCAGAGTGTAAGGGACACAGGGAGACTAAGTGCTTAATTCTGCCTCATGAGGGGAGGAGAGGACAGGAGAGAACAGGAAATGTGGTCAAGGAAAGCTCAATCTGAAATCTTTGACATCTGAGCTAGGTCTTGGAGGTGAGGAGGAGGTTACAAGTAGAGTATTTGAGAGAGAGAGAGAGAGAGAGAGAGAGAGAGAGAGAGAGAGAGAGAGAGATTGCGATTCCAGTCAGAGGGAATGGCATGTGCTGGAGAAGGGAAGTATAAATAGTATCATGTGTTTGCTGAATGCAGATACTTTGAATTAGTGAATAACTGTATGCCATTCATTCAGAAATGATTTATTGAGCTCCTTCTGTATACCAGGCATCATACTAGGTACAGGGATACAGCTGTGAAAAGGTCCTTCCCTCATGAAGTCATCCATCTACCTGGGTATAGGGTTGGTAAGTAAAGGAGGAGGAAAAGGATGAGACAGGAATGCTGTACTGGGGCTGGGGTTGGAAAGGCCTAGTAAGACAGTCCAAGGAACTTGCCTGTGAGTAAGGAGAGCTTGAGAAAATTATAAAGCAAAGAAGGAACATTACTGTGTGGTGTTTTAAAAAAATCATTTCAGTTTGCAGAGGAGAATGTACTGGGGAAGAGGCTATAGGTAGGACAGCTCTACGGGTAGAGTCAGGGGGGACAGGAGGAGATTATCCAGGAGGAGATTAGTGAGGCTCTAAACTGAGACAGGGGCAAGGAGCTGGAGAAGCAGATTTGAGATATTGTTAGAAGTTAGAGGCTTTAGGATTTGGTAAGTAATTTATTGTAGAAACCAGTGCATCTGTAGCTTTGGGCAAACAATGGACTGAAGGCGTTGTTTTGAGAAATGGGACAGGGAGACTGACCAGTACTTGCCAAATCTTTACTAGACAGGCTATTTCCCTCCTTATATTTCTGTTATCCAGATCACACCCTATCCCATTCCGAGGACTCAAGATTCCATGTTTCACACAATGGTTCCTCTTCACACTGGATGGATATGTCAAAGAACTCAGTTGTCCATATTGCTGACTGGGTTTCAAGATAAAATTGCACCTCTGTCTGTCAGCTGTGGTTTGATTAGTACAGTAAGAAGACCATACATTAGAGACACAAAATTCTGGATATATCTCAAAGATAGGCTAAAGTCATTCATATGTTCAGCAAATATTTCTTGAGCCCCCTCTATGTGCCAGTCATGGTTGCTACTTTGATCAAACTTATATTCTCATAGAAGTGGGTGGGCAGGACAGAAGTGAGCAGACATCCATAAAATCAGTATGACCACATTGTAGTCAACATTTCCATCATTTAGTTATTTGAGCCCAAAGAGTCCAAATCAGTGATTTTCCAACTTTCTTTTTCCAGACATAGACTTTTATCTTCAAATGTGTTTTGATGTGGAAACCCATTACACAACAATTAACAGGAGCTGCTCCAGTTTAGGTTGGGGTGGGGCCACCCCTCACATGTCCCCTGAGGTACTTCTGTGAGACCCCTGGGAATCATCTGGGCAGTCTTAAAGCTACTCATCTGGTTGACCATTGACATTTAAGTGCTGACTTTTGTCTTCCCTGCTGGTTGCTTTCTTCTTTCATTGTTCTCTCATCTTTGTGTCTTTAAGCAAGGGCATCATAGAGCCTCCAGAAGGGACTAAAATTTATAAAGATTCCTGGGACTTTGGACCATATTTGAAAACCTTGAATGCTGCTGTAGAAGATGAAATATTTCTTCATTCATCTTGGATAAAAGAATACTACACTTGGGCTGGATTTAAGAATTACAACCTGGTGGTCAGGGTATGCTATTAAGTATTATTTGTCCTTGCTTTCTTGAATTATGGAAATATATGAAAACCCCTTAATATTCTAATTTATTTCTCCATAAACATTCATTAAGCCCTGAACTACCTAATTTTTAGAGAGCGGATTTGACAATGTGATAAACAATCCCTTGCTGAAAATTTAGAGAATGTTCTCAAGTCTAGCTCAGTTTCTCTTTTGGAGCATTTTTTCCCCTCCTATCACCACGTATTTGTTGTTGTTTGTTTTTGTGGGTGTTTTGTTTGGCATGGCAGAAACAGCTAATTAAACTGTGGAACTGGAGAGAAAGATCCACCCAAGAGGTGGTGACCTGGAGCAGGGTGACATAGAAGCACATAACACTTACCTGCAGCTGTGGTAAGGACAGAGTTGCACAAACCATGAGGTTTAGCCATGAGATTAAGTTCTAGATTTAGGCTGAAGATCTAAAACTTAAATCAGGGCCGGGCCCATGGCTTAGCAGTTAAGTGCGTGCGTTCCGCTGCTGGTGGCCCGGGTTCAGATCCCGGGCGCACACTGACGCACCGCTTCTCCAGCCATCCTGAGGCCGCGTCCCACATACAGCAACTAGAAGGATGTTCAGCTGTGACATGCAACTATCTACTGGAGCTTTGGGGGAAAAATTAAAAAAAAAAATAGAAATCTGTGTTAAAACTTAAATCAGCCCCAACACCTACACGCAGAGCTCACAAGCCAAGGGTTCAGGTTATAACCTGGTCACCCAACCTGAGGCTGTATCCAAAAACAAATTAAGTACTAACAGGCAGGAGTGCAAGAGTAAGAGGAGGCCACAAATGGACCAGGAGTACCTGCAGAGTCGGTGAGTAACCAGCCACTGATGTGTGTATTTTTTATCTGGCTTATATTTAGTGCCTGAGATTGTGCATGGGGAGCAAAGTTTAGGGAAGGCATCAGGAAATGGACAACATTCACACTCAACCCAAGTTTATCTTTCACCCACTGCACATTAATATCAGGCAACACTTGCCATTCTCAAAAGCAGTGATTCCTAAAAACTTAGGACTTTTTAGGGGGTCAATGCCAGTTTGTGACAAAGTTTCTACTAGCTAATAGTGAAATAAGTTTGAGTATGCATACGAGTGTGATTACAAGGATATCAACCCTCTTTTCTTGGGACGAATTGTCATTATCCCAAGATTAGGTCACTTCTATTTTTTAGATTTTAAAGCATTCTTCGTTTAATGAAATAAAAGGATAGCAGATATAAGAATATTTTTTTTAAGTACTCACTTGGCAAAGGAAAATGTTGGTTATCTCTATTAGCTCCCAAATATTTTTTAGGAAATTGTCTTTAAAATCCAAAAACCTGGGAAACTTGGTCTAAAATATATGTTCAGTTGGACAATTAGTATGAAAAAGAGAATTTTTTTTAAAAGATTTTATTTATTTATTTATTTCCCCTTAAAGCCCCAGTAGATAGTTGTATGTCATAACTGCACATCCTTCTAGTTGCTGTATGTGGGACGCGGCCTCAGCATGGCCAGAGAAGCGAAGCATCAGTGCATGCCCGGGATCCGAACCCGGGCCGCCAGCAGCGGACTGCGAGCACCCAACCGCTAAGCCACGGGGCCGGCCCGAAAAAGAGAATTTTTAATAATACTATTTATGTTTAGCTGCTATATGATGATGAGAAACATTTCACATTTTATTTATTAGCCTTCAAACTTATGGTGGTATTTGATATCTCATTACTAGTAGTACTTAAGATAAAAATAACCTTCTCTGTAAATTTGATTGAAGTTAGTGATATGAAGCAGTCTTGCTAGTGTAGAAGACTAGGATTTGAATGTTATTAGTTCAGGAGAGAGGAGACAGAGAGAGAGAAATTGAGGAAAGAGGGAGAAAGAGGAGAGGAGAGACATTTTGTATTAACTCCAATTCATTGCTATTATTTAAGGATATACCCATTCTATAATTTTTTAAAGATCTTACCACCAGATTAATATGCCACTTCCCTTTACCTTGTTGTCATTTGCACAGATGATTGAGACAGATGAAGACTTCAGCCCTTTTCCCGGAGGATATGACTATTTGGTTGACTTTCTAGATTTATCCTTTCCAAAAGAAAGACCAAGCCGGGAACATCCCTATGAGGAAGTAAGCAGCCACACTAGTGAAAGTGCTCCCTTCTTCCTTCCTTTCTTTCTTTTTCAATAACCTTTGTATACTAGAATTCTGTAACTAGAGTTACAGAAAAGTTGCAGGGAGAGTACAGAGTATTGCGAATATCTTACTTTACTATGGTACATTTGTCACAACTAATGAGACAATATTGAAATAATATTATTAACTAATGGCCAGACTTGCTTCTTTTTGAGTCATTTGCAAAGATTGGCTTCTCTACCTGCTAACTTCCAGACAGCTGCCCGCCTACACTGTTATTAGACTTGCAAGCGTTGAACTCTGCCCCCCTTTCTCTTTTCTCCAATGGCGTCTCCTTCCCCAAGGGAACCTAGAAGGTTGCTCTGTAACGGGGGTTAAGTCAAAATAAACCAACACATGTTTCGTTGAGCTCCAATTTTGAGCAAATGCCTCACCTGTGGCAGCATGATGTGAAGGAAAGCGCTGTGGCTTCAGAGGCAGCCTCAAGATTGGGACTAGTGTCCCACCCCTGCTGCTGATGAGGCTTTGAGCAAGTTATTTCACCTGTCTGAACCTTGGTTTTTTTTCCCTTCATAGGGTTTATCTCCACCTTACCAGTTTTTTTGGTGTCAAATGACATAATATATATGAGCCTGCATTGTAATTTTAAATTCTACACGAATGTAATAATCGTTAAATAAATTAGGAGGCTATATCGTCTGCCCTGAAGCTTATTACATCTTCCATATAAATGTTTGATACCTTAATTGTAGAGGTTTAAATGTACTTTCGTATAATGGATGTGTTCTTAAACTACATTTTAATAATTTGACTTGTATTTTTATATTTAGTCAAGTACTTGCTATGGAAGAGAATCTTATGCTGAAACTTCAGTGAAATGAATAATCCGCTGCCTGCTTGATGGGTCTTAAAAAACTGGTTTTTCACAGATAGGAAAACCCTATGTGAAGCACCCATTTTAAGCAAAATGAATCTGTTAAATTTGTTGCTTTATTTGCCAAACACTATATAGCTTGCTGTGTGCCAAACACAGCTTTAAGCGCTTTATAAATATTAATTCATTTAATCCAACAACAACCGTATGAACAGATAATACTATATTCCTCATTTAGAGATGAGGAAAATGACATAATGAGAGGTTAAATAAACTTGTTCAAGGTCGTACAGCTAGAAAGGGTGTGACCACAAGTGTCTAGCTTGAAAGTCTGTGCATTTAGCCACTGTGCTGCTTCTCAAATCTGAACTGACAAACCTATAAATTAAAGTGTCTGTTAGCCTTAAAGGAGATTCATCATTGGAATTTTTTAAATAAGTTCATTTAAAATATTTAATTGAGAATAGAGTCACTTTTTGAAAAAAATAATCAAGCATTTTTTAGACTTGGTCAGGGCCAAGCTGCAAAGGGCTTTTAAAAAATTATTATTATTGAATAAATTTGATATGTAACATTGTGTAAGTTTAAGGTATACAATGTGTTACTTTGAGACATTTATACATTGTAATATGATTGCTGATGTAGCGATATTTATCACATTACGTAATTACTAGTACAATGCCATTGTCTATATTCATTATACTGTGCATTAGATCTTTATGGCTTATTCACTATTCGTTACAAGTTTGTACCCTTAAACACCATCACTCTTATCCCCTGGCAACCACCATTTTACTCTCTATTTTTTACAAGTTTAACTTCTTTAGATCCACATATAAGTGATATCATGTAGTAGTTGTCTTTCTCTGTCTGACTTATCTTGTTTAGCATAATGTGTCAAGGTCTATCCATGTTGTTGCAAATGGGAGGATATCTTCCTTTCTCATGGCTAAATAATATTCCATTGTGTATATGTACCACATCTTTTTTATCCATTTGTCTGTTGATGGGCATTTGGGTTGTTTCCATAACTTGGCTATAGTGAACAAGGCTGCTATAAACATAGGAGTGCGTATATCTTGTCAAAATCCTGTTTTCATTTCCTTTGTGTATATACCAGGAGTGGAATTGCTGGATCATGTGGTAGAACTATTTTTAATTTTTTGAGGAACCTCCATATTGTTTTTCATAGTGGATGGACCAATTTACATTCCCACACCAACAATGTATACGGGTTCCCTGTTCACCACATCCTCTCCAGCACCTGTTGTCTCTTGTCTTCTTGATGATGGTCATTCTAACAGATGTGAGGTGATATCTCATTGTGGTTTTGATTTGCATTTCCCTGATGATTAGTGATGTTGAGCATCTTTTCATGTGTTTTTTGGCCATTTTCATGTACTCTTTGGAGAAATGTCTATTCAGTTCTTCTGCCCATTTTTTAATTATATTTTTTTTGTTATTGAGTTGACTGAGTTTTTAATATATTTTAGATATTATCCCCTTATCCGATATATGGTTTGAAAAAGTATTCTCCCATTCTGTAGGTTATCTTTGCATTTTGTTAATTGTTCCTTTTGCTGTACAGAAGCTTTTGAGTTTGATATGGTCCCATTTGTTGATTTTTTTCTTTTGTTGTTTATATTTTTGGTGTCATGCCCCAAAAATTATTGTCAAGGACAATATTAATGAGCTTCTTCCCTACATTTTCTTCTAGGAGTTCTATGGTATCAGGTTTTATGTTTAAGTCTTTGATTCATTTCAAGTTAATTTTTGTGAGTGATGTGAGACAGGGATCCAATTTCACTGTTCAGCATGTGTTTCTCCAGTTCTCCCAGCACCATTTGTTGAAGAGACTGTCCTTTCCGCATTGGATATTCTTGGCTCCCTTGTCAAATATTAGTTGACCATATACGCCAAAGTTTACTTCTGTGGGCTCTTTATTCTGCTCCGTTGGTTGATATGTCTATTTTTGTGCTAGTATCATGCTGTTTTTATTACTGTGGCTTTGTAGTATAGTTTGAAATCTATACCTGTGGATTTGTTCTTTTTTTTCTCAGGATTGTCTTGGGTATTTGGGGTCTTTTGTGTTTCCACACACACTTTCAGGATTGTTTCTTCTATTTCTGTGAAGAATGCCTTTGGTATTTTGATAGGAATTGCATTGAATGTGTAGATGGGTTTGGGTAGTATGGCTACTTTAACAATATTAATTCTTCCAATCCATGAACATGAGATGTCTTTCCATTTGTTTGTGTCTCATTTGATTTCTTTCAGCAAAGTTTTGTAGGTTTCATTGTACAGATCTTTCCCTTCCTTGGTTAAATTTATTGCTGACTATTTTATTGTTTTTGATGCTATTGTGAATGAAATGGCTGTCTTTATTTCTTTTTCAGATACTTCATCATTAGTGTAAAAAAATGCAATTGATTTCTGTATGTTGATTTTGTATCCTGCCACTTTACTAAAATTGTTGATTAATTCCAACAGGTTTTTGAAAAGAGGTCACTTTTTCATGGCTTTTCATATGCATCTGTTGGATAAAGCAACCAACAGCTCTGTTGCAGGTTTAAATACACCATAGGGTAAATCATCATGCCTGCCATGTACACAGTGGTCTGTAATGTGGCTCTCAGTGCTTCTATCTCCCAGAATTTTAGTGAGATTTCTACGTGCTGAGGTTTGCTTAAAGAGATTATGCCTATGCTTGGAAGAGCTCCTTTTCTTACTACCTATTAATAAGCGCTCTCATATTCCCTTTTTTGGGGGGAGGCATTAATTGCCTTTCAAACTCATAAGTATATTTTCTATCACACCAACTCTCCATCTTCCTAGATGCATGGCTTCTGTAGCTCTCCATCTGGATAGCTATCCAGATCCTGCTCCGATCTGGATAGGCTCCTCTCTAGTTCTGCTGCAAATCTGTCACTTAACCACTTCCGGACTCCACCCATGTCTTCACTTTCTTTGCTTTACTCCTTTGTGGGACTTCCCGCTTAAGTAACTGCTGAAGAAAGAGTGCATGGGAGCTAAACTTGAAGTAATTTCCTGCCTCCCGTTGTGTGATAGTTTGGCTGAGCACATAATGCTGGGTGGCAAATCATTTTCCATGGACACCTGAAGGCATTGCTTCTTTGGCTTCTAGCTGCATGCAATATTGCTTACCCCAGGCTGATCTTTCTTCCTTTGTAGGTGACTTTTAAGAATCAAAGGATTAATCTACAATTAGCAAAAAAACAAAAAGACCTTTTCAATCTGATTTAGGGCTTTCTGTATACGTGTAGGATTTGTTACCCAGCAGGCTTTACTTGAAGGCAGGGGTTACATGTTTAAATGCTCACAGACTGGCCCAAGGCAGATCTTGTAAATATGTGGAGCTGAGTGGGGACTGTGTCAAGTGGAAAGCTAAAGCCAGATCAAAAGGCGGCAGCCCCTACTGAGCTCCAGCTGATCTTCTGGATTTTCCAAATAACTTGGAAATCTGGATTTTCATGAGAAATGCCCAAATCTATAAATGTGGAAAGCTAGTTCAGTTTTTTGAAAGGGACTGTAGGCTATATGAAACAAGAGCTAGGTTGTATTTGGTCAGGCAGTCATCAGTTTGTTTAAGTTATGAAGGTGAAGAGCCAGCTATTAGTCTGGGGGACCCCTAAATACCCAAATGTGGAGGTCCTTGCTCTGAGCATCACCAATACACTACCTGCCCTCATTCTCCCCTCAAAATCGATTCCATTTATTCAGAGAATTGTCTGAATGTATTTGGCCTGGGATCCATGCATAAGCGGAGGGAAGGGATCAGCTGTTTCATGTACATAGTTTTGTGCCGTGTCCCTACTGTCATCCATGGTACCTACCTCTACTCCTTCCACATCTGAATACCCCTCCACATGCTCTCTGGGATTCTGCAGCCTCTGCCCTGTTCTTCAGACGCCACTCATCTGCCTGCTTTCTCGATTCACGTCAGTTAGTTGAAATCTCCTGCCTGTCAACAACTCACTTCATTTCTTCTTTACTGTGGCAGTTTACAGCCATATAATTGCTTTGTCAACATTTCAGTTGGATCTGGAAGTGTACAGAAGACAAGTTATGCATGTGATCTGTCTATCGTTTTGAACTAGAAGTCCTTTCTCCAGTGACACTACCCGTGCTTTCTTCACTTTCTGACTATTCTACATTCTTTCAGGGTCTCTCTTTCTCCAGCCGTCACTTAAATTTCTTGTTTCTCTCTAGGGTTCTGTGCTCAACCCACTCTTCTTCTCAAGCCTCTTACTGGGTGAACTCATCTGTTAGCATCACTTGTCTGCTAATGACTCTAAAAGTCCACATATCCTGCCTGGACTTCGCCCGGCCCCCTCAAGCACTAAGGTTCGGATTCTTTATAGTCAATTGCCTGCGAGATATCATCACTAGGATTTACAAATTCTTGGTACCTCTTTTTCAACCTGTTCAAAATTCAACTCACCCTCCTCATCTAAGCTCTTGATCCTTTTCTATCTTTTTTCTTTTTTTTTTTAATTTTTTTTTGTGAGGAAGATCAGCCCTGAGCTAACATCCATGCCAATCCTCCTCTTTTTGCTGAGGAAGACCAGCCCCGAGCCAACACCTATAGCCAATCCTCCTCCTTTTCCCCCCCGCCCCAAGCCCCAGTAGACAGTTGCACGTCACAGCTGCACATCCTTCTAGTTGCTGTATGTGGGACACGGCCTCAGCATGACCGGACAAGCGGGGCGTCGGCGCGCGCCCAGGATCCGAACCCTGGCCGCCAGCAGTGGAGCGCGTGCACTTAACCGCTAAGCCACGGGGCCGGCCCAATCCTTTTCTATCTTAATTGTGGGAAACATCAGCCCCCTAGTGAGCCAAGCTAGAAACAGGGGAGTAATCTTTGATTCCTTTTTCCTCATCTCCAAATCTAATCAATCACCAAGACCTTCCCATTTTACACCCTAAATATTTCTTAAATCTGTCCCCAATTCTTCCATGTGCTCCTCTCCAGATTGAAAGGTCAGAAAGGCCATCTCCCCTCCACTGTGAGGAACTAGGTCCCAATACTGCATCTTAGCTGGGCAGTCCTCAACCTGACCAACTGTGCAATCATGTTTCTAAATCTCTATTGGCAAAAGGACAGATCCTCTGACCTGTGTTTGTAATCTTAGCTCACGGTGGATACAATCATTTTGTAGGAATGGTGTGGGAAAGAGAAATAAATCCAAAATGCCAATCTTCTAATTATTCTGTGTCACTTAATAGCCTGTCATTTATGACAATCTGCCTCTACTGGCATTAGCATGATATTTCCCAGGAAAAAAATGATTCCAAATACTGAAAAAGTTCCTGGTAAACTTTAACACTGATACTGATCAAGTGTTAAAACCATGTCTAGTCTTAGGATACCTTCCCTTCCTGCTATGTCTTGCTCTTTTTTAAAATTTTCTTTTTTTTTTTTCCCTCACAACAGTCCTGTAATACAGGAAACTGAGGCTTAGCAAGGTTAAGGTCACGTAATTAGTCAGTGCTGGGCTGAGACAAAACCATCTCTGCTTGCCTTCTAATTCTCTGCTCCTTTGACTATTTATATATTTTAACAGCTTCCCTGTCAGGAATTGGGATTCTTTAAAGGTAAGGGCCTGGAACACCTAATCAAGATATTCTTGCTCTATGGCAGGCTTGAAACACACAGATTGCTGCAAACTTGCAGTCTCCGCTTTGCCTCTGAATGTTCAGGTAGGAGACTAGAACACTCTACTTTCAGAATAATGGGGTAGCACACATTTATTGAAAGCTTACTATGTGCCAGGCTTGTTTTAATTATTTTATATACATCGACTCAGTTAATCCTCGCAATAGTCCTTTGAGGAACGTTCTATTATCTTCATTTTATAGATGAGGAAACTGAGGTACAGAACAGTTGACAGTTTCTCACCTCTAGAAGCTGGATTTGAACCCAGCAATCTGACTCTGTCTGTGCGCTCAGCACCTACGCTCCCCTAGCTCCTGATATGCTGTTTTCCTTCCCTCGATTTCTGCTGCACTCCTGGTCCCTTCTTTCCCCCTCAGCCTGTGATATCTACTCCAGTAGACTTTTCTCCTCGACTCCCCAAGCCCCTGCCATCATAGGTAGCTGCTTTTCCCAGGGACGTGAGGGGTTGGTGCTCTGTGCTGGCTGGGTCGGCCCCTGCTAATTGTTCCATATCTATTTCAGATTCGGAGCCGTGTTGATGTCATCAGATATGTGGTGAAGAATGGTCTACTCTGGGATGACTTGTATATAGGATTCCAAACCCGGCTTCAGCGGGATCCTGACATATACCATCATCTGTAAGTCTGGAAATGCCTGTCATATGCTAGGCCACTGCAGAGGATGCTGTGGATTTTTAAGCAGAGTCACTGACTAACTATGCCCCCATATTCTGACGGATATGTGAGATTCCACTATTAGAGCTTCACTCCTTTGTTAACCTGTTAAAAAGCAAATCTGGTTAGGAAAGTAACATTTTAAAGAGTCATCATTTATACATTCATACAAATGTGTTTTAATCCCTTCTGGAAGTGGTTTTTGGTATAAGAAAGGGAAGAACATTATGAGAGAGAAAGGGTGTATTTGCTAAGACAACAATGAGGAAAGGGTGTTTTTATGGCAAAGATGTGGTCATTGAAGACAATCATTTTCCATGTCACACTTTTGCCTGTGCCCAACTCTGAGCATGAATTTAGTGGACTAGTTGGTTAAGTGGAATGGCCCACTGAGTTTCTGCCTGCCCACACTTCAAAACCATGTAATTCTCTCACTGGAAAACTGTATGTCTTTAAGATTATATTTGGAATATTTGAGTTAAAGTGTCAGTGTCAGCAAGGCCCATTTGCCATCTTTATATTTGCAAAATCATTAGCAAGAGGAAGAGTACTTTATTATCTTTACCACTGACCCTTTAAAAAATACGGGAATTTAATTTTAAATAAGCAAAACCTACTATCTAGCTTCTGCTTTGAGCTTGCAAACACAGGCATGTTTTAATTTTTTTTTCACTTATTTCCTTTTGAATGCTTTTCAGTTATAAAAATAATTTAAAGAATGTAGAAGTACATAAAATTAAAAGTGAATAAGCCTGCCGCACCCAGCCCACAAAACCTTATCTGTTTCCTGCCTCTCCCTCCACCCACTCTCCGGGGTAACTCTTGATAACAGCTCAGTGTGTGTCATCCCAGACCTATTTCTGGGCATATAACATTTCTCAAATGTATTTGTTTTCAATAAAACATCCCATATAGTTGGGAGGGAAGGTTGTTATTGCTGTAGTTTTTTTAATGTAATCCTAGTACATATGTTCTGTAACTTAACACTTTTTACTCACCAATCTTTGGTATCCCTTGTGTTGGGACACACATATCAACCTCAAACATTTTAACTGTTATAAAACACTCTAAGTTTTGTTCATTTTCAACAGAGCATGTACCTGACTTCTTGTTCTCGGAAAAAAAGGAATATAGCAATTTGGGGGGGAGATTTGAGTGGTTACTTTTCTTAAAAAAAATAATTCCATCTTGGAAACTTCTAGGATATTGATGCTAAAGTCTATTTTGTTATGTTGTTTTGATAACAAAGATAGTAAATATAAGAGGATCCCATAATGAATCTTGGGAAGTAGTCACAGCCCAATTTATCTTTGTTGCTCTTAAAATGGGATTTATGAGTTTACTAAATATTTTTCTGGATATAAAAATAAAACATATCTACTGTAGAAAATTTGAAAAAACATTTTAAAATACAAAAAAGAGTTAAAACCACAAATAATCCCACCACTCAGAGAGAGCTATTTATATTCTGGTGTCTAGTTAATCTTTCTTTTCCTGTTTACAAGCACACACACGTGCACTTTTTATAAAAATAGGATAATACTGTACATACTTTTGTGCCTTCATGTTTACTGAACAATCTTTGATCTACCTGTAAGTTGTTTCTAACTTTTCATTATTTGAAGCAATGATTTGGCAAATAAATAGATAGGTATGTCTCGCATACTTTCATAGTGATTTCCTTAGAATATATTGCTAGGAGTGGAGCTGCTGGATCCAATGCACACGCAGTGTGTAGGCTTTTGATGGACTCTGCCAAACTGTTCTTCAGGAAGCCAGCTGACCTTCCCAGAAATAATGTAGGAAAGGACCCATTTATCTGCACCCTCACCAATACCAGGTCCTAATGCTTTTGTGTACAGAATATAAATCTATATTTTCACATGTGAGAATTCCTTAAAGCAAGGCACATCACAGTAAAATAAAAATAAGACACAGTTGTCATGTTTTAAGGGCCTGCATTCAACACGTTGAAAATGCTAACGGACAGCCGAAATAATACAAAAACGCTGTCTCTTAGGGAGAGCTGAGGACCAGGTACCGAAAAGATCCTGGCAACACAACAGTTATGGAAGTTTCCAAAACATATTTCTCTGCTTTTTCTCTTTTACAGGTTTTGGAACCATTTTCAAATAAAACTCCCCCTAACGCCACCCAACTGGAAGACCTTCCTGATACACTGTGAATAGAGCGGACCTGACATTTCCCAGGTAAGGCATCCTATAGATCTAGGAGATGCCCTTATCATACATCCCATCACACTCTCTTTGGCATCTAAATTAAGCAGGCACCATGCCTGTCAGAAAACCTGACTTTCGGAGGAAGGAGAGGAGCTAACATACAAGAAGAACAGTCAAGTTTAAAAATAAATAAATAAAGTGAGTAGCGAATGCATCCAGCCCCGAGTCGATAGACTCTTTGGTCTGGTTGAGGTGAACATACAGCCAATTAATAAATGAGACAAAAATTATTTCAGGTGGTCAGTGAGTGTTCAGAGCTAAATCCTGAACACATTAAGAAAAGTAGCAACAAAAAACAAAGAGAGAAAAACCAAAAACAGGGTAAGATGGAAAACATCATCTCTCCATTTCCAATAGACCCCTATCTTTTTCAGGCTGATGGAGATCAGCTTGTCTGGCACAAATCAGATTCGACATTCCTTCCAACCTCTTGGGATGTGATTTTATTAACTGGATTACAAAACCTATTTTGGCATACTTATTATTGGAAAGATCACATAATATTACTACAAAGATAGTAAATTTCTTGATTTATGCATTTATTTATATATTCATTTATTTATTTTACAAACAGCCATCCCATCACATTGTACTGTAATAATCTGTTGTCTCTTCCAGTCAGTAGACTCTGAATTTCTTAAAAGTAGACACTCTTGCCCGTGTATCCCTAATGCTTAGCATAGTGTCCAGTGCACACACGATTTTATTCACAATATGCCTTCAAGGAAGGAAGGAACAAGCGAATTTCTCTCTCCCACTGTCAGTGTGACTTGCCTCCTAAAGTAGGCTTCAGTGTCCTTACCAGTAAAACTAAGAATCTAAATAGAACATTCTTTTCAGTTATAAAGTTCTTTGTTCCATACTCTATTCTAGCACAAGGCATTGAGCTAGATCTTCTAAGTTATGATTATAGGCTAGAAGGGATGCTAAGGGTATTTATATACAACTAGATTATAAGGCAGCCTTAATAAGCACTATGTTTGTTGTACAAACTAAGCTTTGGGAATACTGAGGAGAGAGAGATTACATCTGACTTTTTGAAATGACCAGGAAGAGTATTATGGAAAATGTAGTGTTTCGGTGGGGGATGTGGGAGAAGGTGGTTTTGGGAGAGTGTCCTGAAGATGGAGTAAGGTTTTTAATAAGCTGAAATGGAGGGGAGGGATGGTGGAAAGAATATTCTAGACAGGAAGAGTGGGGTGAAGGTAACAGGTAGAAAAATGCAAGGTGAATTAGAGCATTGGCAGGTCCTCCTGGTGTGACAGAGAAGTAAGGGAGAGCAGGAAAGAGGCTGTAGTGGAGAATAGAGAGTTGAGAGGGCTCAATGGAGATGCTGAGCAGGTTCACTCATTGTAAAAAAGCAGAAGGCATGAAAGGTAAGGAGGCAGCAGATTGAGAAAACACTGAGTTCCAGGTCTTGGAGATGGAGCAGTTCTGAAAGAAGATGGGTTAAAGGTGCTTCTATAAAATTGAGTGAATGAAATGGAGCAGAAATGAAAGTAATAGGACTCAGGAGGTCAATACGTGCATTTTGGAGTTGCCTTATCAATAAGCCAATAAAGTATTGTGGTCAACACCTCTGACTTGGAATCTGACTTCTTGAGTTAACATCTTGGTTCTGTCAACTACCATGTGACCTTGGGCAAATCACTGAACCTCCCCGTGTCTCAGATTTTCATCTGTAAAGTGAATATAATAATAGCATCTACCTCACAGAGTTAGTTGTGTAATATGTGTAAGGCACGTCTAGAAGAGTGAGTGGCACAGGGTAGGTGAACAATAAATGTTAACTATATCAACCTGATGAAATAAACAGGAGAGTCATATAACCTACAGTCAGTCATTTGAATTCATTTTACAGTCAATTTACAGTCATTTTACAGTCAATCATGTTACAGTCAATTTACAGTCATTTTACAGTCAATCATTTTATAGTCAGTTTACAGTCATTTTACAGTCAGTGAATCTGTAAAAAGTTGGAAGGAGAGTCATATTCCAGTTCACATTCCAGTTTTAGATTCTCAGTTATCTTAAAGCATCATAGACAATACAACTAGAACTAAAGAATAAGAATAAAAATTCGTCCCAATGCAATAAAAAATGAAAAAGTATTAAAATGAGATTCATACTGTTGTTCAGTAGTAATATCTTTAATTCACAGGGATGCCAAGCAACATGAAAAATTCAAGAATTTACTGATGCTACATCTTGAACACGAGAACCTTCTACCAGAGACCATGCCTTATTGACATCAGCAATGGTTAATTACATGCTGCATTTGTGAGATGTTCACATACCTTACATTTGTGAATCACTACATAGCCAGATTATTAATATTTTACTTATTCCATCCACAATTCTCTCTAAAAGAACCAATGAACCCAACAGGAACAAATTCCCTATGGAAAACAAAGCATAGCAGGAGATGTGAATCTAAGCATAGAAATAATAGAACAGGAGGAGAAAAAATTTCCTGGAAGATAATGAGGAAAAAGGAAAGGAGTGGGAGAGCAGAAGTTGGGTTATAAGAAGAGAAGAAAGAAGAGAAATAGATAAATGAGGGACCATAAGAAGAAAATAGGGAGGAGAAAAAATTAAGATGGAATTTAAAAAAGAGAATGTAAAAATAGATATTTTGTTCCTTAATAGATTGATTCTCCAAGTAGAGTCCACGAAGATAGTTTAGTGAAAAGGGTTCGTGAGCTGTTTTCAATTTTTCAAAAAGATTTGTTGAAATCATATATTTACCAAAACAAGGTTACAGAGGCTGCCCTAAAAGGTAAAATTTCACTGGGACTGAAATTATTTTGAGTCAGTGACAAAATTTCTTATCTAATGCAGCTTATAAATTCTAACAAATAGAGAGAGCTTTGATTAATAAAAAATATGAACACTATTAATAAAATGAGTTGTGTAGACAAAAATCTTTCAAAATCAATAGAAAAATCAACAATCAAGATCTATATCTTGAAAAAATTTAAAAATCCTCTTCTGAACATTTAAAAACATTGTTTCAACGGTTAAAATAGGCAACTAATTTATCTGTTTCTGCTAATGTGTGTAGTTTTTAATGATATTTGCGCGATTAAGACACACACAAATTTATCCTAGGAAAACGTGATTGTTAACTAGGTTTCTATTTTACACGTTGATGTTTCCAGTACACACCCCCCTCACTGATTTGAACATCAAAATTGAGTTTCTGATTATGTATACTACCTCTTTAATTCTAAAGATACAAGAATCAAATCAATAGTGGAATTTATCTCGAATCTCTAAATTCACACTTCATAATAGAAATGTTGAGTGTCTACTTCCCATTAAGATTAACATCAATGACGTTTGATTATTCTGTTTCAGCTCACGTTATACATAATAGAAATGCTTGCAATTCAGGAATTATATTTTTTGATTTGTACTATATAGTAAATTATTTATCACTGAAAAATAAATGTAATGTATATCAATAATATGTATGTTAAGATGTATATGATGAGCAAATAAAGATTATGTTAAAATATAGATTTGTTTTTCTCACCACTGTGCCTATCTTTATTCTCATGCTATCTTTCCAGTTATCTCTTTCTGATATCCTGACTCCAACAATTCTTTGATATCACCAAGACCACCAATCCATTGACCCTACATGTCCTCACTTCTCTTCTTACTCATCTTGATAGTTCTTTTCTACCTGTAGAGGCCCCCATTTTACCTGTCCTCTTTCCCTATCTTGTATCTCATATCTCATTTCCATTACTTAAACTAAAAACTATGAAATCATCGTTTATACCTTGCTCTAATATCCACTGCATCAGCACAACCTGTCACTTCCACCTTCAAAATATACCCAGAGTCTAACCACTTTCCACTACCTCCACTGCTATCAAGATCAGGAGAGGAAGGAAACCCGTAGAGGCAATCTTGGCATGAGGGGCTGATTTTCCTCAGCTATGGATAGGCATCTGCCAATTCCAAAAAAAGTCCAATAAGCTGAACACCTTGAAATTTCCTCAAAGCTTCTCAAGGGGGTGCTGGGGAAGCCATTCATGGGGAAGTGCCTTGCAGGCTGCACCATCCTACCGTAAAGCCACTTTAGAGGGTGCCAGGGAAGCTGCTGGCTGCTGGGCACTGATGCTCATCTTGCACTTCAGACGCCCAGCTCTAGAGAAACTAAGACATAAGAGCCAGAAAAGAACCACTTCCTCCTCTAGTGCCCCTCCAGTGCCCTCTACAGGCAAAGCTTAACTTTATACTAGCTGGCAAAGGAGAAATATTTCTTTTTGCTTAACAGGCAATGAAGAATGGATTTCAATCTGAGAGGCAATAAATTGATAACTGACACAGACTTGATGAGAATACATGTTGTAATCTTTAGGGTAGCCACTTGAATAGTAAAAGAATGTGTAACCACAAAGGTAATAGAGGGAAAATGAAATAATTTAAAAATATTAATCTGTGAAAGAAGCCAATAAAAGAGAAAAATAACATAGAACAAACGGGACAAATAGAAAGCAAATGCCAAGATGGTAGATTGTATTAATAATTGCATTAAATGTAAATGGACTAAATGCTCTCATTAAAAGACAGATTGACAGACTGGATTTCAAAAAAACACTCTGACTGCTTATGAGACACATATTTAAAAGACAAATATACCGAAATCTTGCAAGAAAAAATATGGGGAAATATATACTATGAAAACACTAATAAAAAGATGGTATAGCTATCTTAATGTCAGACAAGATGGAACACTTACTGATAAAAGTTTTAATTAACCAGGAAGATATAAAAATCTAAATTTATATGCACATGACAACATAGCTTCAAAATGTATAAAGCAAAGAATGACATAACTAAAAGAAGAAATAGACAAATTTAAATCAAGTGAGAAATTTGAAACCACCTCTCTCAGTAAAGATAAACCAATTAGACAAAAAAAAGAACTTTGTAAATATATGGAAGATTTGAACAATACAATTTTTAAAAATGACCTAATAAACGTATAGAGAAGAGTGCCCCAGCAATTACAGAATACCCATTATTTTCAAGGATACAAAATGATGATATACTAAGCTATAAAGCAAGTCTCTGCAAATTTCAAAAATTTAAGTCATAGTCAGTATGTTCTCAGACCACAAAGCAATTAAGATAAAAATCAATAATAAGAGAATTATAAAATTTCCATGTGTTTTGAAATTAAGAAAGGACTTCTAAACTAGTGTGTTCTCAAACTTTATTAAGAGAAATTAAAGAGGACCTAGATAAATGGAAAGATATAATATATTCATGGACTAGAAGACTCGATATTTCAAACAAGTCAGTTCTCCCCAAACTAATTAATAGAATCAATGCAATCACAATCAAAATCCCAACAGTTTTTTCTTTTCTTGTTTTTTTTTCTGAGGAAGATTTGCCCTGAGCTAACATCTGTTGCCAATCTTCCTCTTTTTTGTACATGAGCCGCTGGCACAGCGTGGCCACTGACAGACAAGTGGTGTAGGTCTGCACCCGGAAACCAAACCTGGGCCGCCAAAGTGGAGTGCACCAAACTTAACTACTAGGCCACTGGGGCTGGCCCCCAACAGATTTTTTAAAATGGAAATTCATAGGTTGATTCTAAAATTTGTATGGAAATATGAACTTTCAAGAGTAACCAAGGCACTCTTGAAGAAAAAAGGGTAGAATATGGTCATTCTCACATTTTCAGTCATTCTCAAACTTTAGCATATATCAGAATCACCTGAAGAACTTGTGGCCTCATCCCCAGAGTTTGTGATTCAGTAAGCCTGAGGTAGGTTATAAGAATTTGCATTTTCAACAATTTCCCAGGTAATACTAATGCCATTGATTAGAAGACTACACTTTGAGAACCGCTGTTATAAATAACTCGTAGATCAAAGAAGACATCACAATGGAAATCATAAAATATTTTGAACCAAATGATAACGAAAATGTGATATATCAGAATCTTTGTGACAAACTAAAGCCAGGCTTACTGGGAAACTTACAGCTTTAAATACATATTAAGAAAAGACCAAAGGCTGAAAAATCAATGAACTACGCATTATTCTCAGGAAGCTGGACAGAAGATGGCAAATTAAACCCATAAAATTGAAGAATATTAAAAATTTTTTTTAAAAAAGTAATGAAATACAAAGTAGATATACAATAGAGGACTAACAAAGCCAAAGGTTATTCTTCAAAAAGACTACGAAAATTCATCAACCTCTAGCAGGACTGATCAGAAAAAAATAGAGGAACAAAAAACCAGTGTCAGGAATGACAGATATCTTATATTTAAAAAACATGATAGAATAAACTTCTCTGTGTGAATAATTTTGAAAATGTAGATGAAATGACAAACTCCTAAAAACATATTTCTAATCAAAACCAATATAAGAGGAAAAAGAAAATCTCACTTATTGAATAACTGTTAAAGTAACTGACTCTGTAATTAAAAACCTTTCCACAAAGTAAACTTCAGGCTCAGATGGCTTTACCAGTGAAGTTTCAAAACATTTTAGGAAGATATAACTATTTTTAAACTCTTCTGGAAAACACAAAATGAGAGAATATTACCCTAACTTGTTTTTTGAAGCCAACATAATCTTGACACCAACACAAGGACTTTTAGGGAAACAAGAATTTTAGGCCAATTTCTGAAATGATCATAGACGCAAAAATCTTAAACAGAATATCAACAAATAGAATCCAGCAATTTATGAAAAGGATAATTTATCACAACTCAGGTGAATTTATTCCCAGAGCACAAAGTTAGTTTGTGTGCAATCAATGTATTTCACCACCTTAACTGTATAAGAGAGAAAAATTATGAGATCATCTCAATAGATGGAGAAAAAGCATTTGGTAAAACATAATATCCATTCACAAATCTAGGCAAAATACAACAACAAACCCAAAAAACAACTCTTAGTAACTGGAAATAGGAAGACATTTTCTCCAAAACACAAAACGAAACAGAAACACCATGGAAATATCTTAAAACTTCCCTCTGAGATGGGAAGCATGGCAAGCATGCCACTCATCAACACTTCTTTGCAATATTGTACTGGAAGTTCTAGCCAGTGTAACAAGACAAGAAAAACAAATAGAAGGTGTAAGGATTAGAAGGAAGAAATAAAGCTGTCTTTCGTTACAGTCAATAATATTGCGAACATAGAAAATCCAAAATACTCTACAGATAACTTTTTAGAATTAATAAATGAATTTAGCAAGGTTGCTTAATATAAGGTCAATAGATAAGGGGAAAAAACTAATATTTCTATACCA